CTTTCATCAGAACCACAGGTCATCTGATGGATACTTCCATCAGAACAAGAGAACATCTGGCGGCTACTTCCATCAGAACCACAGGACATCTGATGGATACTTCCATCAGAACAAGAGAACATCTGGCGGCTACTTCCATCAGAACCACATGACATCTGATGGATACTTCCATCAGAACCACAGGACATCTGATGGATACTTCCATCAGAACAAGAGAACATCTGTCGGCTACTTCCATCAGATCAACAGGACATCTGATGGATACTTCCATCAGAACAAGAGAACATATGGCGGCAACTTCCATCAGAACAAGAGAACATATGGCGGCTACTTTCATCAGAACCACAGGACATCTGATGGATACTTCCATCAGAACAAGAGAACATATGGCAGCTACTTCCATCAGAACCACAGGACATCTGATGGATACTTCCATCAGAACAAGAGAACATCTGGCGGCTACTTTCATCAGAACCACAGGACATCTGATGGATACTTCCATCAGAACCACAGGACATCTGATGGATACTTCCTTCAGAACAAGAGAACATCTGGCGGCTACTTCCATCAGAACCACAGGACATCTGATGGATACTTCCATCAGAACAAGAGAACATCTGTCGGCTACTTCCATCAGATCAACAGGACATCTGATGGATACTTCCATCAGAACAAGAGAACATATGGCGGCAACTTCCATCAGAACAAGAGAACATATGGCGGCAACTTCCATCAGAACCACAGGACATCTGATGGATACTTCCATCAGAACAAGAGAACATCTGGCGGCTACTTCCATCAGAACCACAGGACATCTGATAGATACTTGCATTAGAACAAGAGAACATCTGGCGGCTACTTTCATCAGAACCACAGGACATCTGATGGATACTTCCATCAGAACAAGAGAACATCTGACGGCTAATTCCATCAGAACCACAGGACATCTAGTATCTACTTACATCAGAACGACAGAACATCTGGTGGCTACTTCCATCAGGACATCTGGTGGGTACTTACATCAGGACATCTGGTGGGTACTTACATCAGAACCACAGAACATCTGTTGTGTACTTACATCAGAATGGCAGAGCATCTGGTTGCTGCTTCCATCAGAGATACAGAACATCTGGTGGATACTTCCATCAAAACCACAGAACCTCTAGTGCCTACTTGCATCAAAACAACGCACTATGTCACAATCCAAAATTAGTGGCGGATTCGTTCATAAACCCTAATAATGGTGCTTTTCCGAGCGTAGCTTCGATGTGGCACAAGGCCGATAGCATGAGGCACCCTGTGAGGATCGAACTCACTACTCGGTCGTAATTGATCTAGCGAGACAAACTTGCTAACCATTACACCACGTCGAGATGCCCAATAAGTCTCAGTAATGAGTTTTCTGTGCTAGTTTCCTCCACAATCCCTGGATCTCAATCCCATAGAACACTTCTGGAATGTGGTTGAAAGTCAGATTCGAATCCGGGATATGCAAAGAACCAGTCAAGAAAAATTATATGCAGCCCAAATCCAAATTTTTAAAGGGTACTTCCAGAATATTGTCCAATCTAAGCCAAGAACTGAATAGGACCAAAATGAAAATGGGGATCCAAAATGAAAAGGGGTATGAGTTATTTATTAAAGATCCAGACATGGGTAAATTCTACATTGGATGCACAAGGAATGAATTCAAAAGAAGGTGCAACCAACATCAAACGTCCTTCAATAATAATAAATACCGAAATCAAACGTCCTTATCGAAATATTTCGGGCACTAAAAATGAAGCCAATAAAACACTAACGGTAAAAAGTAAATTAATAAGAAAAGCTAGAGCTTGTAGGTCATTAAATGACCCATCTCCTTTGTGCATACATGAAAAATTTTGCATTATTAAGTTTCTGAAAAATAAAACATTAATAAATCAAAGAAATGAAATAGCTTTTTTCCTTAAATAATAATTCGTTTTGGAAAAAAAGAGAGATGAAACATATATTTATACTTGATTATTAATTAGTAATTAAATTCTAATATATTTATTTGTAAAAAAAATACCGTATAGTCTATTAGTTCTTAGAAGGAGGAATGGTTCTTTAAATCTGTAAGAATAAAATTTAAATATTAAAAATATGACTTACTCAACCACCCTTAATCAAAAATAGATTCAATTTTCCTTAACCTTAATAACTCAAAATATTAAGATTGTCTGAGCTTATAAATTAAGTAAATTTCTTTGAAAGTTATGCCTGACATCGCTTGACAATGGAACGAAACAGAATTTTAAGTTTAATTTTTTAATTGAATTTACAACTTTAGAAATTTCTGTGTTGCGATGGAATCATATTTTTTAGAAAGAAAATAATTATATATATATATATATATATATATATATACATATATATATATATATTTGCATAACATATTGTGTGTGAGTGTGCGCGTTCGAGCCATGAGACCCTGGCTCTAATCTCCTCTGATTTTAAAATATTATATCATTAAGAAGTGCTTAAATATTATGACAGCTGTTGACAGAACCACTGTGAATTAAATTTTGTTGTCACAATATATATATATATATATATATATATATATATATATATATATATATATATATATATATATATATATATATATATATATATATATATATATATATATATATATAAGTGCGCATGTATGCGGAAAATAGAAGAGAACAAGTTGGGTGCATAATCCGGGATTCCTTAGTATTTTTGTTTTTATTTTTAAGAAGACAGTGCTCCATACAGAAGTAGAGCTTATAATATTTTTTTGTTTTAAAATATGATTCCTTCGCTACATAAGAGTTCTCATGTTTCAAAAACGAGCCGAAACCATCCAAATATTTATTAATAATTAATTGAATTATTAAAATTAGTTGAATTGAGGTGTTTAGTCCCGTTTCATCTTCAATCGAAATTTTATTCCTAAAATTTCGCTTGAAGATGAAACGGACCAAAACACCTCAATTCAACTTAATTTTAATAATTATTTAGATGGTTTCGGCTCTCGTTTTTGAAACATGAGAACTCTTTATATAGCGAAGGAATCATATTTTAAAAAAAAATATTATGATATATATATATATATATATATATATATATATATATATGCATATATATATATATATATATATATATATATATATATATATATATATATATATATATATATAAGAAATTGTGTATATATGATACGATCATTTTAGTGGTTCTTCATTAATCATCATCGATCCCAAGAAATGCTAGACAAGCTTCAGGTCTTCCTAAGATTTTTAATTCTCATTTTTTCTTGTCTTGCCAATTCTTTGAACAATGATCAGCAAAACCGTTACCTTGATGCTCTTTATTCTGGACACGAGCAGTGTGCGGAAAATGTTCATTTATTTTATGTTAACGACAAAGTTTCACCCCAAGGCCAAAAACACCGCAGTCAGCTTCAAGAGTCTCTTAATACTTCATACTCTTTTCACAATGGTTATTCAACTCGAAGTACAAGATATTAAATTCTATCTCAAGTTTCGTTTTCTATCTCACCATGCATAATCAATGGTCGACTTTTGAATTGATTAGTGAGGATTAATTCGCTTACACAACAGTTTCTAGCTTTCGACTCTTTTGGTAAAATATCCACTTTTCATCATTAGCTCATCACAATTTGTTTCAAGATTATATTAGATTTAATTGAAATACCCAGAAATATGATATATTCTTTTTCAACGCGTCTAACAAAGCAAACCATTGCAGTTTTTTTAACTATTGATTTGGGCATTTTGAGTAATTTGTAGCCTATTTCCTGCTGTGTCGTATGATTGTTTTTCCCATTTTAATGACTTAATCGCTCTCACTTTCAACTAATAACATCCTTGTTTCCTGCTTAGGGTTGGTTTTCCGGTTCTTTCTCCTAGAGTCTACGCATTTTCTTTTACTCCTAATAACTTCTTGCGTTTTAGTGGCATTATCACCTTACTTGGAGAGAAATTATTAAAAATATCTATCTGAATTTCTGTGATGAGGTGTTATTATTTACACTATTTATATTCGGACAACTGCCCTCATCTTTCTTGATGTTATCACAACGTTTCAGTCGCTGTTCCCTCCGGCCTTCATCAGGTGTATATCGATTCGGATAACGTACAGGGAATTCCGAATTGAACTGAAGCAGTTTTTTTTTCTTTTCTTGTTGCACTGTCCATGTCTAGGGATATCCCGTCTCGTTCTTATTTTTAGTACTGCTCAGTTGTTGCTCATCCCTTTCCCAAGTACATACTCCTCAGCCTCGGGATTGAACTCACAATTACTATGTCACCAAATTCACGAACCACCGCTTTAATCCACTGTCCCGTAGACATGTATGTTAGAAATGAAAATACAAGACTGAAATTTTATATGTAACGTTTTCCTCTAGTTTTCATCGATCACCGTCGACCAGTGGGCGTATCGATCTGGGGCCTTTCCGAACATGGGTCCTATGTTTTCGTGTGGCTGTATGAGACTGTTCACTTTGTGGTGGTTTTTATTTATCTGTCAATCAGTTCTCTCCCACATGTACACATCTCAGACACAGTGTCCACCTGTCCAAGATCAGCCACTGATATTCTTTGAGGTGCGGATATGCACTTGATGGCTAGGAGGTAATCTATCAGGCCAATCTGCCGCTTCATTGAATGACACTAAGTGCAAAATCCACCCCGGTCTCATCAGCCGTGAGTCACTCTCTTCTAATTTGTTCTTGTTTGTAAAGATGTCTGTTAAAATTAAAAACGTAGCAAAATCATATTTCGAAAATTTCAAGGCTTAAACATAACATTTGTTCTTTTCTTCTGAAAAGATTACATATGGTGTGAAATTCTATGATACTGAGAATGAAAACAATCTAGTCCATTGGACTGAAGGAAGATTCGGTTGAAAATCCACAAAAAGTAACCTGAAGAAGGTTGGAGTGTAAAACGACCGAAATATTGAGTTAATACCAACCAATGGGTTTACGACCACATCACATTGAAATACCAGTTCTCGTACGGTCACGGAAGTTAAGCAACGTCGAGCCTGGTCACTACCTAGATGTGTGATCGCTAGGGAATATCAAGTGCTGTAAGCTGGGATGTGCGGGTGGTGTAATGGATAATGGCTTGGAATTGTTAATGAGATAGCTGGGTTCCAATTCCAGTTGGGTTTGTTATATTCACTTTTCCGCAAATAACATTAGGAAATATATTAATCCACTTCTACCCCCATCTATGGGTTAATTAGTAAGAATTGTATCACTAAACCATTATTTTCTGAAAAAAAATCTTACAAATCTAAAAATATTTTCTGGTTTTAAATAACCTGCGATGGGTTGATAAACCATCCAAAACGAATCAACCAAGCAAAAATATTTGTCCAATGATTATTAATTCTCATCTCAGATATTTAGACAGGAACATTATTACGCGTCCAGACAATTACAACAGAAAACTGCTATTTCCATTGACAACCTTGACACTTAACCAGTTACTTAAGTGGATATGTACACTGAACTGATTTGTTTCTAATCAAAGCAATGAAAGGTAACTTCCCACCAACTTCTCTACACATTAAAATCAAAAGGCAAGAATTTCTTTTATTTAACAGTTTTAATATCGTGATCACGTTTGGTGATTTCTCATAAAAGCATCGACGAATCTTATAATTAAATATAACGACACAGTGATAATATGTTAGCGTTTCATAGAATAGCATTTGTTTTTGACGACTTTTTGTACAACCAGGTTATGGAGTCGAGGGCTAATTGTCCCAGGCTACGCTTTGCGGTATCTGAAGACGATATCGAAAGCTTTTAAATATTAACAAACGGATTTAATGAGCAGAAACTAGCACGGAGGCTGGGCACCCGTCATGCGTAAGTGACAAGAAATCGTTAAAGCATGAGCCAAATCAGCAAATTAATACAAAACTACACTTATTTGTTTATATATATTACAGACCAGATGTTTAGGGCAACGTTTTAGGTTAAATAAGTTTCATTCATTCTATGGTTTAATTAATTCCTACTATACTAGCATGTTTAAAGAATTCACCCCATTAGTGCATGGCGTCCATTTTTTTAGGAAAGGGATTTACCTTATATTTGATATCCGCAATCACTAAAATTATCATCAGAGGGCAAGATAGATTTGGCAAAAAAGCTAAAATTTCAACTAAAGACTGCGTTTTGTCTTCTTTTTAATATTTATAAATATATATATATATATATATATATATATATATATATATATATATATATATATATATAATAGAGAGTGGGAGACAGGGTTTGATAGAGTTAAATAAAGCAAATAAGGGAAAAAGACAACACGGAAACTCAAGGTTAGCTGAGACAAAGAAGTAGACATTAAGACCTTTTAATTTATATATATATATATATATATATATATATATATATATATATATATATATATATATATATACTGCTAATATTAGTGGTAAATATACACATACATATGCAAAATATATAAATATATATACATAGGTGCATACACATACATGTATATTTTTGAATAAAAATTCCAACAGGATAGAATCCAGGTAGAACTCAATGTCCAGGACAGAGTAAGGATATAATAAAAGGCTTAAACACTAATATTCCATAGTCATAATTTATTCCATTGGAATCGTAAAGACGATCCAATTCATCAGACCTACAAATTCAAAAAATATATATATATATATATATATATATATATATATATATATATATATTTATTATGCACTGATACATTAGAACGTGTACATACCCACTACAAAACTGTACATCTTGTTTCAAACTTAAAAATTAACGTTTCTTCAGGTGGGAAACCATGATGGTACTAAATTATTTAATTTCAAAATACAGTTAACGAAACACAAGTGCAACTTCCGTCTTTGGAAAATTTTCCATAAAGGGTAAAATGATTTATATCTGGAGAAAGAAAGAAAGCTAAGTGATTAATAAAAGCGAAAGAGGGAAGGACAAGAGGAAGAAAAAGAAAATGACCAAGAAAAGAAAATAAATGTTGATTCGAGTATTCAACATTCACCTATTTGTAAGGAGAATAAAGTTGATGATATAAGAGATAAGAAGATGTTTACACGATATAAATCAATGCATTTCAGTTTAAGACAAAAAAGAAGAGGTCAGTGAGAAAAACAAAAAAGCCAGAAATTCAGCCAATGAATTTCCGTCGAATCAAATAATTCCAATTTAAACGGCAACGGAGCGAGTTAGATTAATGTTTCAATGGCAAAAATTTCTAATAAATCCTTTTTACCTTTTATGGAAAATTTTCCAAAGACGGCATGGATATTATTTTTCAGTTTCAGATAATTTCAGGTAATTTCCTAGACGAAATTAAATGTAATACAGGTCGAAAGATTTTTTTTTTTTAAGTGTAAAATTAATATGATGATGACGAAAAGATTTAATGAAAGTACTTGCAAATGGACTCAACATCTAATCCATTT